AGGTTTGGGGGTCGTGGGTGTTCCAGTTTTTTTGACAAAACAAGACAAAAACCACCCAAAATTCCTGTTCAATTTTTCAGTGAAAATAGTCATTGTTTTCTTTGAATTTTTTTGGTAGAAAATAAAATACATTTTTACCAGCTTATCCATCCGTCTGTCTGTCTGTCTTGCACTGTGTGCAGGGCAGGGACTCACCCCTCACTCAGGCAGCTGAATTCCAGCCCTGCCCCCAAACCCTGCGAGACTCCATAACAGCTTGTTGACCCCCATGGGCGGGAGAGGCTGAGGCTATCATGCCTGGTCAGCGCTGGGAGATCTCCAGCTGATCTCCTCTGACCTTCTCTCCTCTGTCAGCCCATGTGCCAGCGCCGCACGCCGGACTCTGCTGGCCGCCTGATTTCTCTGCGGCAACTCCTGTCGCTTGGGAGCTGTCACGTTAGTGCATCGCTCAAGGGGGAACTCCAGCTCCAAGATGCAGTTTTATTCTATTTATTTTCATGTTGTTGTTTTTTCCAAGGGTGGTTTTATTTCCCAGAGTGGGGATTAGCTGCTGGGGCTGGTTTCATTCCCCACAGCATCCAGGCTGCTCTGCTTCTCCACCACCACTATTTCCCACCGTGCTGACATAGAGCAACTCAATTATCGGGCCAGGTCACCACTAACCTCTGGGCTTTTAGGAGGATGGTAATTTTAAACCAGCTCATGAAATCTCATTCCCGGGCCTGCTTTAAAGAGGAAAAGTCACGGAGCCTGTTGGAATGCATCATTCCGTTCTGCACCCAGAAGCATAGGAACAGATCCTCAGCTGGGCTAAACCAGCATAGCACCTTTTGATGCCAGTCGCAACAGCGGAGGATCTGGCCTGTAGAGGTTTAAGATAAGACCTGTTCGGTTTTATCCATTCCACTGTGCAGCCTGCCCAGGCAGGCAGATTGCTCATTGCTCCATACAGGATATTGCCCATTCCCAGTGCTTTCCCCAGCCTCGTGTTCCATTCAGGGTACGGTGTTTTCCAGGTAAACACGCTGCCCGTGTCTCACACAGCTGAGGAAATCCTGAGGCAGTAGAATTCTACTGATAGCAGCAGAGCGACCCCAATCTGCCTCAACTGAGTATCCTGAGGCCCTGCTTTTATGCAGGCAGGAAACTTCCAGATTATATTTTTTCCCTCAGGTTACTGGTGCAGAAAAGGGGTGAAAGGCTGAGAGGCAAGGGGAGCAGAGGTGCTGAGTTACGGGGACATATGCTATTGATTCTGCCAGCTTTAGCAAGGAACGGCCTGGGATCTGGGGCTTAGGTCAGTCAGAGCATTCCCCTGGCCTGTTGCATCTCCAAGATGTTTGGCTCTTTTGGTTCTATATTATCAAGAGCCATTCTCTTTCCTATTGAGGAGAACTTTTTGTACTCTCTGCTAGTTCACAGAGGCAGGCCCAGGAACTTGTGGGGCTATGGGTAACATTAAAATATGCTCTGACTCCTCTTGCTTGCCGGCAAGTCTTTGTAGGGAAGACTTTGTCAGCAAGCACTCCGGTGCCCATCAGTTCTTTGAAATAAAACTTATCAGGCTGCCTTAAAAATCAACTAGACCTCACCTGGAATGGACAAAGCCTGATGTTGTTGTTGCCAGCAAGAGTGAAGCCTTGATTGATAGAACACTCTCCACAAATAGCGTGGGGCGGGAACAGTTAACAGTGCCACTGCCACTGCTCTTCCTGTGTGAAAAAGAGACCGGTAAGGGTCATCTGGGTTCTGCAGATGCACACATTAAAATACTACATCTATACTCACTCACACATCTCACAGCTGCTCCCACCCACTCTCTCCAACATGCTCATGCACACTGACGCACCTCAGACACATTCTTTCCCGTTCACGTGCATGCCTTCATCTGCTCACGCTCACAAATGCATTGCCACGCACACCCATCCCCTAACGTGCAGACTCACACTCTGACATGCGCAAACACAGCATACGCTGTCTCACGTGCACACACACAGTCACACACTTTCTCAGAAGTGTGCGCACGCACACACAGATATGCGTGCCTCGCTGTCCCACGCACCAGCTCAACCCCTTCAAACCAGCCCGCACCCCAGAAAACTCTGACCCATCTTCTGAAGCTAGAAGAGACCATTAGATCATCTGTCTGAGCTCTTGTCTATCACAGGCCATTAAATTTCACCCAGTTCTCCCTGTTCTAACTTGGGTTAGACTAACGCTGTTTTATTTCCTGCACATTAAGACATTGGTTATGAATATTAATTGCCTTAACATCCTGTTGTGATAAGGCCAAGCACATTTCCATGCTTTAGCTTGTTGCTAGGGAACTGAGGGTGACATGTCATGGATCTCATTTGCTTCAGGGCCTGAACATTTCAACTGCAGAACAACATTAAGCCACGGAGCAGGATTCACCCGTTAATTATTTAGAGCCTAATAAAAAAAAAAAAAACACTGTTTTTTCCTCTCTCCATCGAATTTTGCTTTCCGAGCTGAACAGGGTCATTAATCCCTAAGGCTGCTGTTTGGTTCCACATGCCGCCTTCCCTTAGACGGGAGTGAGGAGGAGGCTCTCGCTTGTGTAACGGAGCTTTTCCGAGCAGCCAGAGGAATGCAGCAGAGAACTGTATTTAAATGTAATTGTCCATAAACTGTGAGCGTAACAGCTCATCACTTCACTTCTAATTTTAGATGTAAACAAGCCGGCGAGTCAGATCCATCCTGTTGCCTCCACCTGAGGCTGCCTGAGCGGGGGTTGTGGCTCAGCTGCGTGGCTTCTGCTGTTGTCTTTGTAGCACAGCCAGGTTAGAAGTCAGCTG